AAGAAAACGGCTAGTACGATCAGCCACACCCGCAACGTTCTGCACCCTGCTGGCAAAGCAAATCCGAAATTTCGGTCTTGGCAGCCAACCCAGTAGCTTCGTACAGACCGTTACTCACGATGTGTGTGGACATCGTCAGAACCTAAAAAAAAAAACACCCTCTTGAGATTCCCCAGAGCTTCAGCTGGCAGGTCTTAGCAGGTAGCCGTCTCGTGAAACATGGCCTGGTACCCAATGGTTCAAACGTCGTACCCCATGTCGACGAGGGGGCTAGGGGGGCTTGGGTGCCATGGTGGAACGACGTAGCCTGTTGCCTGTACGAAGTATGTACAGTAAGTAGCCTGTAGGGGGAGCCAACGCAGCGCCCCCTTTCCTTTCCTGGCCGGGGCCCGCGTAGCAGTGTAATCCTACTGGCCCACCGCTTCACCCTGCAAGCCCGAGAGTTCGGTGTGGTGGGCTGGGGTTGCTGGAGGAGGATGCAATCGTATACGCCCATCTGTCTGCCCTAGGATGAATTGAAGCCAATCTGGATGGCGTAGGGCTGGATATCCAGGAGAAGACATAACATGTAGAATACCATGCCGCACCACGACTCGAGCTTGGCCACCTTTACGAATCTTTATCCGCAGCGCTGGGTTCAATAGATCGATGGGAGAAGAACCGTCAGCAACCGCGGTTTAGTGGTCAGGTACATGTTGGAAGAAGAGACCATACCATCGTGAAGGGGGAGTGAATCGGAGGCATGCCGCAAGGAAACTCGAAAGGTATCTGCTAGAACCATTTTCCCGGGCAATGAAAGGCAATGTGAATAGAATAGGATAGGTATGCTGCCTGAAAAGGAGAATGTGAGGATAACGATTCGTGGAGACGTTTGATTATCGTGATGACCGACAGTGCTGCGCCATCCTTCTCGCAACTAGACAATGCGATTGTCTGACGGCATGGTATGGTGCGTTGTGTTTCTCAATCTGGACAGCTCTCTGCTCCGTTCGGAGCCAAAGTGATGACAACGTCTGCATGGCATATCTGACCGCGCTGCCATGACAGAGTGACGGACCGGCCGCCGTTGGATTGCTGACAAGTGCAGATAATAAACGGCCTCTAAGGAAGGGAACTAAACGGCGCCCGCCTTTTTGGTGGACGAGTGCCGTCCAACGGGTTTGCGGCGTCGTGATGCCCCTGCAAATCGAAAGTTGAAAGCTACGTTGTATCGCATCGCGGAGAAAGAAGTGCAGTGCTGACATAGCTCGGCCATAACGTTGAGGCATAACCCATGGCTGGAATGAACTTGACCCTGCTCCATCTGGCGGTCCAGTAATATTCCTATTGGGTCCGGGACTGGGGAGACGGCAGCGACGCATAACAGGCAGCATCTAATGAGCTGCTAAATAATTAGGTCTTGTTACACTCTGGCTCCTTATTTCGGATCTAGATATCGCCAAGTCAACGTGTCGTGCAACAACGGGCCACTCAGAGGTCGAAATTGTGATGGGTGCTGGTGATGGTGATGGTAACGGCATGTTCTAAACGTTATCGATGCGCCAGAGGCCAGAGGCCAGAGGGGGAGGGGTGGTTACTGGCGCGTAAAGTCGTTGGAAGTCATGTGTACGCTTGACGAAAGTCTGAACGGGCTCAACCGTCAACGGCGGCCCTGCAATAGTATCAACGATGGGAAATGCAGCCCTGTTGGAGCTGTGCAGCAATTACAGATACAGAACCTGCACGTTTTGTTGGATGCCTATTCGTACCCTCTCCTGTGGAACCCAAGTCCGAGGTCCCACCCACTGCGAGCTCTCGTCTTTTGCCCAGGCTGCGACGAAGATCCAGGGACAAGGGGCGTTTGGCGATGGAGCCGGCCGGCCGGCTTTGACAGGGGGAGGGGGTATTGCGGGCGTTGATGGTTTCCATGGATGGGGTACGATACAGGTTACGATACAGGTTCAGCGAAAGAAAAAAGAGACATGGGAATTATTCGGATCATGGGCATGGTATGGTATGGCATGGCATGAACCAGCGATGTGTTTGAAGGTGCGGTGATTCTGGGAAGGGGTCGGGGTAAGGAAGAAAAGGGTTAGATGGGTACGAAGTACGATGGGGGGAGGGAGTGAGTGGGTGGGGTCAAATGTTCACTTCGTCCGAAGGAACGCAGATGAGGGTTGTATCCGCGCATCCACGGTTGAGGTAGATGGAGGAAGATGCGGAGGATGGGGTACTTTGTTGTGTGACTGCGCAAGTATGGACGAATAGGAGGGCAGGCAGCGTCTTGCTAATCGACTTTGCAAAAATAGACGTCTTACAAAGCACGTGGAAGCCTTCGTCATTTGCCCCCCCCCCCCCCCCCCTTCCCCCCCTGGGCCCTTGGACGAGGCACGGGAAGGGTAGACCGCACTACCGTAAGGTAGGCGTACGGCGTAGTCCCAAGTACCTTGCCTACCTTACCACACCTAATTACCCAGTCCCGAATCACCAGTAAACCTAACGGATATGTGTACGGAGTACGGATACCAGAGCCTGAGAGCCTAGAGTCACTATTGCTGGTTGGGGGCCGAGAACGAGCGTCCCAAAGAAGGAGATGAAGCGCACGTTGCATTTGCAAGTCAACATGGGGTAGGGAGGCCCTGTCTCGAGATTGATAATTCCTAGTTACACACACCAAAACCAGCGCGGCTGTCGGCCGACCTAAAGCACCTTGCGCGCCCTTCCAGCTTCCAGGGTGTTTGATTTCCCTTGTCAATTTTGGCCTCTTGTACTGGGGTCCCGCTCTGGAAGGATTCGCGATACTGAGGATCCAGACCGAGGGGTAGGATTTCAGGACGACCAAGGTGATGATGATGATGGGTATCTTAATCGTACGAATGACCGGAACTCGCCAACAATAGCCGGGGCAAGACGTGGCCAAGTCTCGCCCGCTACTTTCACAACACATCTTTTTTGATCTTATTCCCGTTCCGCACGGAGCAATCCGTGTCTCGACCGCTTTCCTGGATACCGGTATCCTTGCAATGAACGACGTGAAGTTCGGATGCTGAATATATCTTCAGCTCGCCGATGACACACACACATATCTACAGGCAGGGATCTGGGGAATTTCCGGACATGGTCCACCCAAGTTTCCCGTGGCGATTTGATTATTGCCATATCCGAAAATGCGTTTGTAAATAGTAAATAAATATCAAATGAATCATGCCAATTACGCAGTCAGTGTTTCGTGATACGAGTCCTAGAGTCCACGAGGCCACAGGTGTCAACAGAACAACCTAACCCAACGGTAAAACGTTGACGCGGGCGAGGATTCAGGAAAGACGTGACGCTGTGCCGTGTGTGCCTTGCGGGCGGGACACGCCAAAACGGCGCTGGCGCACCTCGCCCTGTGGCTTGGCAGCCGGAATAGCCTCTTCCCGTCTCTAGGCTGGAAAGGCTTGGGGGTGGGTTGTCCCTTGGGCCTTGGGGTGGTAGGTGACCCCGTCCTTGAATCCTTTTTACCTCTTTGGTGATGACGTCTCGGCAGGGGAGGAGGAGGAGGAGAAGAGGAGCCCTTCGACTACGGGGTTGAAGGTTCCCTGGTCTCTGGAGTCGGGTCCGGGAACTGGTCACTGGGAGTACAGTTTTCAGTTCCTCACATGGGAAGAACGAATGGAAGATACATATCCATGGATCCCCACCTGCGCCTCTGCGCGGGCGTAAGGTAAAATACCACAGCACAGCACTGCGTAGCGAAGAAAGATCAACGACGGGCTCTCACTGGCTGCTGCATTCATTAATGACCAAGCTCGGCCACGAGGCTCCCCCACTCGTCTCTAGGCAATCGAATTCTCGTGATGCTGGTTGGGCCGCACGCTTCAGTGTTTAATATAGCCAAGGCAAGGTTAGGGGTAAGTGGTCTAGCTAGTGTATCCAAGCCTGAGTCCCCCTCCCCTCCCTTGGTTGGACACACCCAGTACCCAGCATCTAGCATCGAGCACCTGCCACCTAGCAGTAGCACCGCAACCGCAGTCGGGTCCATGGAACCTAAAGATTGAGAAAAAAGGATCCTGGACCCCGGATCAAAAGACCTCTGCGCTGGAAATCGTAGAAAGTTCAGTGCATTGACCCGTGTTTTGGGAACACTCATTCAACCTCTGCAAAGCTTGGCCTGCGGAAAGAGGCTAAAAACCAGGGGCTTGGAGCTTCGGGATTGGCCCGTCTTACGAAGTTACATCTTGGGACTAGCGCCGCGCCGCTCCGCTCCATCCCGGGACTGGTCCACTTTTGTCCCGTCCTTATTGCCGGCTGGCCACGGATGCTCAATCAACTTGTACAAGCCATGGCCCTGTCTACGAACACCTAGCTCCCGCTCCGGCTGAACATTGCAGCGCAAGATTGGGGGGCACGACCGCGATGAATTTGGGAACCCTTTCGAGATGCGCCAAGGGTCTCTCAAATGCTGTATCCGCAGTGTATCGGGCCCCATCGCAAGCGGGGTCTTTGCATCCTACGCATCAATGACGGATATGCGAATATATGTGCTGGTGTACGAATACCTGGGAATCTAGACGAAATTGGAGATGGAGTCACGTCGAAACAGTTTCCCCGTACGGATACGTCGTGCCATGGGTTGATCCATGCTTCTAGGGTCCAAGACTCCGAATACCACCGGCTCTGCCTTGACCATCCGTAGCTAGATTTGCGACTTTGTCTTTTTTGGTTTGAGGCCAAGGTGGATGCCATCATCTCCCTCTTTCCGATATCGTCAGTAATTAATAGCTCTCGTCAAGTGTTGTCCACGGAAACGGTGCTAGGCTGAAGGAATGGCCACGGCACCGTCCGACCTTTTGACAGCATCTTCCCGGGCACATTGCTTGCCCACGGACCTGGTCACGACCTCATTCGGATTACCAACCAGCCGTGCCAGCCAACTAGCCGGCACCTCTCGGGAGTATTATGTCAATGGGAACAACAGACAACTTGTTCGACGTCCATACTGATCTGCGCTCGCCCTTTCGCGCCTCCATTAGAACGGTACACCTGTGAGGCGCAGGGTCGTTGCCGATGATCCTTCAAACGTAGCAAATGCCGCCAGTGTCAACTCTATTGCCTGGTACACCTGGATAGCTATCTCCCGTTCGGGACTCATTCTGCGCGCCCGCCCGCGCGCGCAAGAGAAGCCAATCTAACCACGCTTCAACTACACGAGCAATAGAGCTCGTCCGTTGATTGGGTCGGAGACTATTCCTCAACCCCCAAGAGAAGATTTCGGTCGTTGTCCGGGGAGGGGGTGGGGGCGGTTGACGTGGAGCATCTAGATCTGCCAAGCACCACCTTGAGCGACAAGGGTGCCTCTGTATCAGAATGTTGAAAGCTCGCCCTGTAAAGCTCGCCACAGAGCGAGCCATGGCGACCCCAAGACCCAAATCCACGGCAGCGACATGTCCTTTTGCTAGTGAACGATGACCAGCCACTGGCCAGGTGAGGACGAAACACCCGTTACTGGGGCCGGGGAATGCCATTGTGAGTGCTTGTCAAACATGGTCTGTCCAGGCGGAGTTTAGGTGTCAGGGCGCGGAGACTTACCAGATAGTCTATCGTGTATCTAGTGGCATTGGCGACTGGTAGTTCCAATGATGGATGGAAAGACCAGGTATGAGGCATAGCCGCATAGGTACAGAATCCTACTCGATTCCATCTCGGGAGGGACGTTATGGCGCGGCAGAGAGAAGCCGCCACAAAACTCGCGGTGTGTGAGTGTGTGAGTCTTTTGGTGGTTTAAGACGACGCATCTTAGCCCTATGTGAGGAACTTTGGGAGAAGCTAGGCCTTGTGTGCGGGCTGAGCTAGGTAGCTTGGGGAGCAGTGGTTTTGAAACCTCTCCCAAGTCCCCAAGTTGCTACAGATTAGCTACCGTCCTACGTACTTTCACCTTATGGATACAGGGCGACCTGGAACGGCCAAAAGGCCACAACTTAGCACCAAGTGGGCGCTGGTGACTGGTGGAGGGATCGGCCGCCCTACAGAACGCCAGGCGAAAGCTTGGATCTGAACGGCGGCCCCCAAATGGGGTAGCGGTTCCCGCGTTGGGGTAAGAGCGATTTCTGCGCAACAGCGCATACCAAAAACTGCTGATTCCAGGAGCCAGGCTTGCCAGAGCCGCTGCCTTTCCGTTGCTTGACATAACTAGGTGCCAATAGGCGGGTGTTGGCGACGAACGGCGTAGACTGACTGATGCATTCTGCCGTTTACCATTCCCAAACACCCCCAAGGTGCTTCTGCGCTGGCAGATCCTTCAACGAGAGGCGCCGAGCAGGATGAGCGCGAGGGGGAGGCGGCGAGAGAAACGGAATCTCTCTGTGCGTGCTTGCTTGCGTGCGTGCGTGCGTGCAGCCCTACGGGACGGACATAAGGTACGGAGTAAGGTGTTTATTGCTCTCTGTATCCGTGTCCGTAGTACGGATAGAGTCTGTCTGCGCCAATATCCGTTCGAACTCCCTGCCCTGTCCTTTCTTGTGTTACACAAGAGTTGGCAGGGGATGCGATCCTTGGTACCAGTACGAAGTACGGAGTACGTACCTCCCGTCGTGGGTGGGGCACTGCGAGTCCTCAAATGTTTCCTCGAGTGAGTGCTAGGACTCTCTCTGTCGAAGCATCGAAGCAGCGCAAGGCGTCGACGAGGTTATTCCTAATTTCCTGCATATGAGATATATCGAGAGCAACTTACAAAGCAGGACAACTGGCTCAAAGGAGTGAAACCTTGACGCTATGTCATCCAGTGTGAACCGGGCTGCCCATTTCATTCGTCACCGACCCGACTGACGCGGGAAGTCCGACAGTTGTCGCCTGTTCCATCATCCATGAGCATGAGGTCTGGCCAGCATGAAAGTTGAAGATGGAGGATGGGTTGATGCACAATCGATGCCAAAATAAGACGGGTAAAAGCAGAATGCCTTGACGCGCTTGATTCGCGATGGCATCTCGAGGTAGCATTTCGCAGGTATTGATAGAAGGAGACGAATGCAAGTGGGCAAAATTAGCCCAGGCTAGCAACAGCAGGTCCAATGAGAATGCTTCTGCTGTGCCGCGTGCTGCCACCAACAATTAGCCCTCCCAGTCAGTCCTACGGACGATGTTGAATATCTACTATTATTGAGCATCTCGATATATCATGGTGCTGTCGGGTTCTAACAATACTCACCTGCCTCTCCCAAGATTGGAAGACCATATTGATATCCGTAGGTGATTCTCATTCTGAACTTGATGGACGGGGATGATGCCGGGGCTACCTTACCATGGGCTAGGCGCCAGTGATTGTCTAGGTCCCCTCGTCGAAATGAAATCAAGAGAGGTTGCAAGACACGAGAGATGATGTTCTATGATGATGATGGATCGGCGCCAAACCCTTCTGCGTTTCTTGTACAAGTGGTCCAGTCAATGGCATTTGGATGAGCAGGAGTGGACAAGTACCGAAGTTGCCTTAGGTAAGGTGGTAAGGTCGGATGTATTGAGGTATTCGTAAGTTTGTAAGGGAAGGGAAGGAAGGTATCCGAAAGGTAAGAGTCGGGGCTTGGTGGTGCCGTCGGGTTGGCGCTGCGGCTGCGGCTGCGGCTGCCGCTGTTTGAACCCCGAGGGACAGCGCCTTCCTTGACGATGATGGAGGGCTTTCTTGGAGTTCCAGCCACCTACCGAAGGTGAAGGTGCCTTGGGTGCCCCTGCTCCTGAGTATCCGCAAGGTAAGTACGGAGTAGTCTTGCGGGAGTCTTGAGGAAGGAAGCTGAGGTGTTGCTTTCCCTCCTCCCCCGGTCGTCCATCTCTGCCCCGTGCTCCCATCTCCACCATCTCCACCCCCTGGGGGACTCGTCCACCCGAGCCACCAGTGCCACCCTTCCCTTGTCCTCAATGAGCAATGGTACGTACTACGTACTTTGTTATGGATTCTGTGTCTCCCCTCGACGTGGAGACTCAAAACTTATCGCGAACCCTGGGCGACGGCCACGGTGCACTCACAGCTTCTGTCGACCCGGTCGGGTGGAGCCATCGAAGAAAGTGCGAGATGGAGATGCAAGGTACGTACCTCCACCGCCGTCTCGACCGTCTTTGAGAATTGAGTGTCATTCTCATTCTCAATTTACTCAAACACTCAAACACAACGCCTGTCGGACCCGACCCCTGCTACACAACAAGAACCACTCCATTATTGCCATTGCCATCTCCATTTCCTCTCATTCGAGTCTCCCTCTCTCCCCGCCCAGCCTGGATGCTCTCCGACGTTGTCCTCCACCGGCGTAGATGCAGTGCAGCGCAGCATCCATATCCGTCCGTCCATTGTGTGTCTGCTGCCTCTCATCACCCACCGTCGGACTGCAGCCTGGCCGTCAATCTGTGTGTGTGTTTGGCCTCTCTCCAGCTCCGTCAAATGTCCTTGCTGCGGCCCAGCCCAGCTGATCCCTGGGTGCCGGTGCGCCCATCTTTTCTGTGCTAGTGCCAGCCTACAGGCTACGCCTACCGCATACCTCACCTCTCCCAAGTCGTCCCGTCGTAAAGACTCAAAACTGAGGTGCGAGTGGTACTGCTAACTGATCTGTAAACGGAGAGGGGAACGAGGCGTTGCTCTTGGCTTGCTCCGTTTAAACCAAAAGGTCATCAGGCACCTTCTTTCCACCCATTACCCTTCACCCATCACCCAATCCTCTCCGGCTTGTCTCTTGTGTCTGCGGACGGCTGCCGTTCTCTCCCTCTCTCTGCCCTACGGTCCCTTCACCCCCCCCCCCCCTTTCGCTTTACTATCTACACACCCTCTTCTCATAACTTTCTCTCTCTCTCTCTCTCTGAATGTCTGTCTCTGTGTCTCTATGTCTCTGTTTCTTCCTCGCTCTCTTGCCCCTCCCCCCCTCCTTATTCCTTCCCATGCGCCCCCATCTCCATCCCTAGGTATCGTGGTATCCTACCTTACCTGAGATGGGTAATTCGTAGGCTTTCATCACCCATACCTACCTACTCACTCACTCGCCTTTCTTCACTTCACCCACCACACCTCACCCCCCCTTCTACACAGCCGCACGCCCCCTCCCCTGCCTCCCCTCGTCGTCTTCCACCTGGCGCAAGGCACGGTACCTGTACGAATACCCTTCATCTGCTTGCCCGTCTGTCTTGCTGCGATACCTTGTACTAGTGTGTAGGGTAGCCAGGCTATGTGGAACTCACAAGTCGACCTGGACGCCCTGCGAGGACGACATGCACCCCTGCTTGTACTTGTGGCCCTTCGCACTCACGCCGCCAGCCCTGTCGTTGCTCCCGGCTTGCTGGGCAGTTCGGGCTGAGCTCCATCCATCCATTTTGTGATGCCTTTGGGCTACTTTTTATTTAATAGCTTCCTCTCCCCTTCCTCTGCCACATCTTGCCTCGCCATCTCGACTTCCAACAACCCAGTCTTGATACAAGTTGCAACTTATCGACTATCACCAAGCTTCCTCTTCTACATCTTGCCCCTCTATACAGCCTGATAGTCATCCCGACTACATATCCCCCACCATCCTCTTACACCAAGAAGCGCGACAACCACACAAGCCGCCTACAATGTCAATGTTCACCATGTCCCAACATCACCAATACGCCTATCCGGCAACAGCTCCCGCTCCCAGGGCTTACTCTGGACACGGTACCAGCAGCGCCTTTAGCAGCTCCGCCAACCCTGATGAAGACTGGACCAAGATCTCCGACCTCGCTGAGCGCAGGAGAATCCAGAACCGCATTGCCCAGCGCAACTACCGTACGTCACAGCTACAGTCACCCAGCGATACAACCACACATACTAACACCTTTTACAGGCAAGAAGCTCAAGAGACGCCTTGAAGACCTCGAGAGACGCGCTGGCCAGGAAGGCACACCCCCTACCGAGAAGCCTGCGACAACCAAGAGCACCAAGACCAAGGCGGCGAGCAAGCAACAAAAGACGCCCCCACCAACCAAGACCATGAACCAGGGCCAATTCACTCCTCCCATGAACAACGACGACGAGGTCTTCTTCCAACAACAGCACTACGAGGATGACCGCGGAAGATCCATCACTCCTCCGTTCCTCGCATATTCGACCTACCCCCCTGCCGAAGAGATGATCATGGCTCCCGCATACACCACACAACCGTACCCCATGTCAGCTGCCGAGTATCCCACATATCTCGCGGCAGCGGTACCGGTGACACTGCCGCCCATGAACCACTTCCAAGACGCCATCAAGCGCGAATCATACCACAGCGACGATGGTCTTTCTCCGTACATGAACTACGCGTACATGTCCAGCATGGACATGAACGCGCAAAGCTCCTACGACCCCACGAACCCTCATGTGAGTTACATGCGACAACCGCCTTCCCGCGATACATGATGCTGATGGGTTGTTGAGCAGACTCCTCCGCTCTCACACTCGTTTGACCACTCGGCCAACTGTTCCGACGCCGGCTACGACTATCCCACAACACCACTGTCCATGCCGGGTTCTCCTGGCCTAATCCAGCAATAGAGTACGCAGCGCGAAGGAGGAGGAAAAACAAACATGCAACATCCTTGTTTATCGGAGCGTAGCATTTCTGGCGACTACAATTTGGGTTTCTACTACCACTTGACTCTTTTTATCCACCACCCCCCCTTTTTTTCCTTTTCGACATGTTCAGCGTGGCTTTGGCCAGGAGTTCGGGGGCGTATGGATCGCATGTATTGGTCGAAGCGCTCGACCTCACGAGAGATATGACTGGGAATAGGCGACGGCGTTTCACTTTGGGCAGACTGATCCCATTGAGGATCATCTTGTTACGAGGTTTGATACGGCAGTCCAAAATTTAAAAGACGAGATTGTCCCAAACATTCTTTGTACTATAGAGAACCTCAAAAAAGTAACACTATATCAATCACACCAGTGCATCATCCGTCTTTACCATTGTGGGGTATTCGTACTGATTATGTGTCCGATGACGAGATGGGCGTCGGTATGGGTGTCGAAAGGGCAAGCAGCTAAAGATGAGACAGCCTAGCAGCTAGAAACAGCGAATTCTAGCCCGCCGTGGAGGAATATACGTATCGTAGGATTATACGAAGCATGCAGGGAAGGCGGAGTTAAACATCAGTCTGGCCGAGTCGGGTGCGGAGAAAATAGCTTGAAGTTTCTTAACTCCTAGTATCCGTACTCCGCACGAGACAAAGCTCGAGAGTCAAGATACAAACTACAAACTACCTTCGCGTCTAGGCCCGGGTCAAAGCAGCTGACAAAGCACTTTGAAGAACAGTCCTTTTTGGGGGATGACGGATGAGTGTGCTGTGTTATTCGTAGCATGAGTAAAGACTTGGACATGAAAGCAGACAGGAACTTAGACCCCGCCCGTCAGCGAACTGGATGCTATGAGGAATCCTCTCCTAGATTCCCTTACGTCTATAGAAAACGATGAATGTCGATGGATGAAGAGACTGGGATTCCAGCATCCTGAGCAAGCAGCAGTACACTAGAGATGAACGATGTTGCGGTACCACCCACGAATGAGCCTCTGCCGCAAGCGAGTGTTCGACAGGGATCAGAGATACAAGACGTTGGAGAGAGCGGAATGGGGAACGAGGGGCGAAAAGCATATACGCGACAACATGGTCCCATTTCCTTCAACATACGCGTAGCAAGGCTCTCTGGAGGGGCCTGAAACAAGATGACGAATACAACGAGAGATTCACGCGCAAACACGTTGTAAAGTCATGAAATAGGAGGGATTCGTATGTACCTAAAGAAAAAGTTCCCGACGGTCGGGATGTTCGCCCGTAGCCCGGTCGGATCTGGAATTCGTCATATGCCCCTTGCGTGTCTTGAGCCGGACACCGTGGCGGCGGAACGGCTTTGGAAATTGCGGCCTCAGCCAAAGTCTCATTAGATAGCACTTGAGGAGGATTGTCTGTAGATAACTCACGTAGAATACATTGGGTCGGAAAAGAGGGAAGAGGAGGGGTGGATGGGGCGCTTTCAGGAGCATAACCTTACACGGCAAAGTCCGACCAGCCTGCCGCCGCCCTTCCCTTGGCTCCTTCATGAAGAGTATGATAGGAGAGCCTTGCACATGACAAATCAAGCGGGAAACATGTAAAGACCATGAGAAGGGTGTCTGGACGGATATTGTGAAGATGATACGGATACGTCGTACGCCAACAACGGGCGAAGCCGGGCGTCGAGAAGGCTTCAATAGGTCATGTCAAAGAGGGGACTTTGGCTGCAGTTGCAGGGCATTCGTAAGGTGTGTCATGGCATGGGATCAACACCTCCATGGGTGGTTGATGGATGGACGGGCGGCGGTTCGGGGATGGCATTCGGATGGGACCAAGGTCCTCTGGGAAACACGGGATTTGAACCGCCTTTCGCTTGTCACCTTTTTTTCTTGCTGCGAGCTGCGTCTATTGCTCGATTGGGGAAGCATGGCCCATGGTCGTACAAGAAGAGGCCAGCCGGCCCACCCCCCCAGGTTTATCAGTCGGGCTCTGGGTTGAGGTGACACAAGGAAGGATTTCGAGTCGGCTGTCAGGTTGCGTACTGCTCTGTCACCACCCCCAGCAAGCGCAGAAAAAGGACCAAGCGTTAGGAGAGAAGCAGGAAGATTGATAGTGTGTGCAAGAGTTGCCGGCGACCGCATGATGTGTTACCAACGACTTTTCCTACCGGTTGACAAGGGGGGCGCGCGAGTGTGGTTTGGTGACACAGCATTTTGAATATACACGCAGAAGGGGACTGACTGCACGTATTGGAGGCGTTTTGCCGCGAAACCCTTGAACGTACCTATGTACGTCGAGGAGCAGGGGTGGGGTGTAATTGGGGCCAAACGGTCGGTCGGTTCGGTCTGGGGTAAAAGGTTGTTGATGGTGCCATGTTTCCCCCATGGCACCGATTGATTAGAAGAGATTGGGGGAATACCTATGGAAGGCGTTGCCAACTTTCCCACGGCCGGTCTCCAAAGCTTAGCAACGTTTGGACTGGTTCTACCAGTCTACTCTACTTGTATCCGAACGCCTACGGATGTTGTTCGTCTGGGGGGGAAGTCGCCGGAAAGTCGCCGAGGGCGGCAGAACGCCATCTTTTTTTTTCAGGGAGGAGGAACACAACCGAGTGGGAGGGGAGTGTGGGAGAAGGAGAGAGAGGCTCGAGGGTCGGATGGCCGTGAAAGAGACGGGAGAGAGAAGACCCGGGGGGTGTGTGCCGTGTGCGTGCGTGTCTTCCCGGAGTTAAGCCCCGTGTGCCTTCTCAGTTCTACTATCCCGTGCCATGTCATGTTGTGCAATAGTAGAGCCTCCTCTTCTTAGCAAGGATTCCATCCGAAGTGCGAGTATCTGATGTGGGGAAGTAAATGTGTAGGCCGAGATGGAGCGGGAACGATTTACTTTCTGCCGGACAACACTTCATGGTGCTCGGTTTGGTTTCCCAGGTCTAGAGAGATATTCTACTGAGTTGTACAATCCATCAGGATGATAACAGTTGTTCCTGTGATAATGCTGTGTACGCAGTGCCGGCAATGGTGCATAAGGACGCCGCTAGAGGTCTCACTTTCGCGTGTCCTTTAAATAGAGTCTTGTCTCTTTGAAGGAAGAAAACACTTTCCCGCTACCTCGTCTTGTGTCTCTGCCCTCTCTCTTCAAACTAAAAGAGGTAGCGCTTCTACTAGTTGCTGCGAACGTTGACGCTGCGCACGGCCTAGGCTGGCACGGCAGGTTGGATATGTGGGCGAGATTTTGAAAGGTGCCGAAGTTGGACACTTGCAATTCGCCGCTATGATGGCTGCCGAAATCACCAGAACTCTACTCATATTGATTCAGAATGACTGTCTCACGGCACTTACCTCTAGGCTCCCGTGGCCCCCAAAGGATCATCCGACAAATGGGGGATCAAGGTGAGTTGGCAACTGTGTAGGCTTTTCTTCCGTAGGTGGAAACGAAATCGGGACCGGAGCTGGAATAAGATCGGACGGAGTTAAGGCCCCCTTCAACAGCAAACGCACTATCCCAAAATCCCTTAACGTCGGTGCAATGCCCATCTAAACCCAACAACGCCGGGGCAGTCAAGTCCCGGATCTTGGATCAAGGTTTCTTGGAAAGAGAAGGCAATTGACTAGGGCGTGTTGTATACCTATTTGATGTGTTGTTAGCTCATGCGTCTGAATAGGCACGGTCTAGACTTCCTACAGTCTACGCCGATATTCAACCCGATTCTGTCCCGCTTTACTTCGTCTCAAAGCTCATCGGGGAGATCTAATACCGTCATCACCCCGTCAAGGTCGACTTCAGCCAAGAACCATATTAGGCCGCAAAAAGGTCAGGGGATCTCGAACAAGCCTTGTCCATCTCCCCGCCTTACTAAGTTACGAGTCCCCAGAACCGCCATCTTCCTGGTTACACACTCGGAGCCGATCCGGCAGAAGACGGGGGGGCATAGGACCGGCCCCCCGCCAGCTCGAACGCCCGTCCCCTCAATCCCGTCACTGCGCTAAAACGACATCCGTCCACGGCCCTTTCATGCCTTCCCCCAAGGGCGCAATCAAGACAAGCACTTGGGATCTGCCTTACAATAATGGGGATGGTCGGGGGAAGCTGCGGAGCACAGAGTAGAACATGATTAGTGATAGACAGACGCCATACTATTCAGGTGCAACTCTCCCCGCAAGGTTATCAAAGTCAATACCCCATCAGCAACGAGGAACACCCCCCTTTCATTGCCTCCCATCGTCGTTTCCGCCAGTTCGAAAGTGAGCCAGATCATCCCAAGTAGCATCGTACCGCCCCGCACCGAGGTGATGAATCTTTCAACTTGAGACGATGAGAAAAGTCATCCGAATCCGTCGAGGCTGCCATTAAGTTAAGCCTCAGCTATTTTCCGACTTTGACTCGCGCTAGGCTCTCAAAGGACGTGTGAAGCTCGAGCCCGTCGTGCCGTTCTTGCGCCAGCAATTGTCTTTGGGACAATGACACAACACACACACACACACACACACACACATAGATAGACACCCAGAGCTTGTGACTAAACCCCCAAGATTGATTTGCGCTCGTCATTGCATTTTACACTTGAGTTTCGCGCTCGCCTTCGCGGCCTCGCCCAGCTCGCCCTCGGCACCACTCGCGCTGAGCCGCAACATTCGATTTTCAACAAACAAACCCATCGTCCGTTATAGTCAAGTTTCAGATGCATTCTAGAGTCTGTAACCCCCTCCTCCATGACCTAGCTTGTAAAACCTTTGGTAGCCGTGAGGGAAACTTGTTCAACCTCTCCGAACGGGTAGGTAGACAATTGTCTCGATTGGCTGGCTCGAAGCTTGGTACCAATTGCCCTAGCGTTTCTCGGCCTTCCTTCTCGGCTCCTTGGCGGCACAGGCCGTGATGATCTCCGCAGTCTGTGTCTTGATTCAACGTTCTCACAATCCGCCCTTTTCCAAATGCATAGGCTCGTCATCCCGGTGATTCGCGGTAATTTGAGAAAATGACACAGAGATCAGCATGTCACTCCCGCCTCCAAGGCGACTACCTCCTTTTGCCGATTACGGAATCGACACCATGTGTAGTTCAATGATCGTAGGCAGCAATATGAAGTAAGTAGGTAGGCACAGGTGCCTTATTCGAACTAAGGTATGGGCTGTAATGTGAAGGAGGAAGGATGAACATCACAGCCGTTGTACAGCCACAATCCAAGAACTGTAGGAGCTTAGGTAACCAATCTGCTGAGCCACAATAGCTACCTAGACCCACTTAAACAGCTATGCTGCACGCCTCTGTCCACTCATCCTATTGGCTAGGATTCACTTGAGAACTCACCAGCCTCGCGAACGCTCAAATGAAGTCGTCATGATCCTTCGCGCTCTTCAACGACTATTGCCTGCCGTCGACCGCTCACGACACAGCCCTATTCTAGAGCCAATTCCGTCCCAATCGCCAACCCCCCCGGAATCCTGCCACCGTTTTGGCCGGTTTTATGCCAATTGACTAGCTCGACTCTTCGTGCCATCAGTTCTGTACCGAACCTGCGCCTCATTGCAATTGCCGATATAGCCACAACTCTACCAACTCTACCAACTCTACCAACCTGCCAAAGCGCACATCATGCCTCCCGACTGGAAATTGCTCTACCTTTACGGTGGTGACAAGTTAGTGTGCCCAAGTTTGATGAACAAGCGTTGCTCCTGGTCATGCCTGACCATCCGGCCTCGTACTACTTCCCCCGTGTGAACTTGCCTGGTTGACCATCATCCGCAGCCCTTGGGACTCAAGCCTATGGACCGATTCAGACGACAGAGTACGTGGTGGTAAGAGCCAGTCTCATTTGCACTGCGAGTCTCCGGAAAAGGCCGAGTTCTTTGGCAACTTGGACATCACCGCCCTAGGAGGAGCGGGATTTGCGTCGCAGAGGACGCTCGGTACACTTGACCTGGACTTGAGTCAGTATGACGGGCTTGTCATCAAAGTCTTGAAGAGCGATTCCAAGAAGTACACAGTCACTATCAAGGATGAAATCCTTCCGCCGAGAGAGGACGGCCGCGACCAGAGTACCATCAGCTGGGAGTTCGATTTTGTCCCTGAGGCTGGCGAAGTAAAGATCCCGTGGGAACAGTTCAAGGCAACCTACAGAGGCAGGGACAAGCCTGACGCCAAGCCACTGGATATTGCCAACATCAAGAGAATCAGCTTCATGATGCGAAGGTAAGATGCACGCCCAAGTAGCAGTCCCTGAATGTTGTTAACACCATCGCAGCTTCTTTGGAACCCAATCAGGTGATTTCAGCTTCACCGTTGGCTACCTTGCCGCTTTCAGCAACCGCCGCGAGTCATCGGACTCCGATGTGTCGTTCCAGAAGGAATATGTCGCGTCACCTGCACCGGCACCAGCTAAGCCGTCATCGTGGTTGGGTTGGCTTTGTGGATGGGATAGACGAGCCTAAGATGCTATGGCGGCCGAAAAAGCGGATGGCAAGGCTGCGGCCGGATAGAAATCACTGTTGCGTTTACACATCCCAAGATGATCCATGGCGTCAGGGTAGGCATGGGGATTTCATTCCATAAGGCTACATAGAGCTTTAAGCAATCTGGCCCAACACCTTGATCAAGTCAGCCGTGACACCCATGGCCGTGACATCTCCACCAGCACCCGCACCCTGGACGATGAGCGGGTTGCTGCCGTAACGTTCCGTGTAGAAGCTGATGATGTTGTCGCTACCCTTGAGGGCAGCGATGGGGTGAGATGCATCGAACTGCTCCAGGCCAACCTTGACCTGCTTGCTGTCGACGTCGATGCTACCAACAAAGCGAACGACCTTGCCCTGCTTTTCCGCAGCAGCCTTGGTCTCCTCCATTTGGCTGTCAAACTCGGGCAGCTTTTGCAGGAACTCCTCTCCGCTTGAGCACGACTCGAGCTCCTTGGGGATCAAGCTCTGGACGGGGAACGAGGTGGGCGACTCGACGGGGAGACCCGCCAGTCTGGCAAGAATGGTGAGCTTGCGAGCGACGTCGAGGCCGTTGAGATCGTCTCTCGGGTCGGGCTCCGTGTAGCCCAGCTCCTTGGCCTTGGCCACCTCGGCAGACCACTTGCCGCCGGCGCCCGATGTCGGAGCGAAGGAGTTGAAGAGGAAGGACATAGTGCCGCTGAAGACACCCTCAATCTTGGTGACGCGATCGCCCGTGTCGACGAGGTCCTTGAGCGTGGAGATGACGGGCAGGCCCGCGCCCACGGAGGACTCGTGGTACACCTTGGCGCCGGAGGTCGAGGCCGCGCTGAAGATGTCCTGCCATAGCTTGTAGGAGCCGGAGAAGGCCTTCTTATTGGGGGTCACGATGCTGATTCCCTTGCCGAGGAAGACGGGGTACGCGTCGGCGACGTCCTGGGAGCTGGTGTTGTCGACCAGGACGACCTTGGCCGGGGCGGCGGCGAGGTACTCGGCGAGCTGGGGGAGGGCGGGAGGCGCTTGCGAAGTGCGGGACAGTTCCTCGATGGCGCTGGCGAAGGGGGTGGGAGTGTACTTGGCATCGTACAGGGCCTTCTTGCTGGTCGAGATGTAGATCAAGTTGAGCTTCGGGGAGGGACGGCGGGTGGCCAAGGCCTCGAGCTGGGACAGGAAGCACTTTCCGACGCCGCCAGCACCTGTAACACACCAACAGGTCAACACAAGCTCGTTGCTACGTGCAGTGGGAAGAAATAGAGCCCGGAGGCTGTCTCTGGAAGTGGGCAATTCTTACCAATGATGGCGATGAAAACTTGCTTGGGGGAGGCCATTGTCGATTGCTTGATGTACTACCGTCAATTGACTGAAGATGTAATTGCAAAAGAGTATGTCATGCAAGTGTACGTTGGGAAATAGACTCATTTTCGAAGCCCCTCCGACCGCGGGGCAGCTCGTAGTGGGGTAAATCGCCATTTAGACCCCGATAATCTTTCGGTGAGTGCGGGGTCGGTGTTTCCCTCACCGAGAAAAACACCGGCCATCTCACCGAGCGACCGGATCCGGCAGACGGGCATGTCGGCATTCCGCACCTTTCTGAAGGCCGAAGCCCAAGGAGCTTGGGCCCCCTTGGCCAGGTCGTGTCGTCATTCACTCCAGCCTCACCAGGGGTGAGCTTCGGCCGAGTGGACTTCATATAAAGCCATAGGGCTGACTCTACAGCAAGCTCAATTCCATTCGGCAGCTCATAAAGGGTTGCCTGTTCCCCGATCTTACACCGTGGGAGGAACCAGGCGATATCCTCGCACAAGCATCATCCACAATGTCCTTACTACAGTCCCTCCTGCACCTCACCAACTTCAAAAACCCATTGCTCCGGACTCTGATCCCCGCCGTTTCGGCAGCGTATGCGATCCAGGCGGCCTTTGCTGTGCCGTCAATCCTCGCCCAAAATGAACGTTTTTACGACTTCTCCGGGTCGCTGACCTACCTGTCCGTCACCGCTCTGAGCTTATACCTGCCCTCCCTCCGTGCCAAATACTCCTCGGCCGTTGCCAGCTCGGCACCGCTCCCTGGCCTGCTCGAAGCATTCACCAAGCCCGGTGGCGTGGGAGCCCTCAACTGGAGACAGGTCGTCATCAGCGGTGCCGTCGCTTTCTGGGCTGTCAGACGTAATATCCCATTCCTCTGTCCGCGCGTGGCCGTCAAACACTGACTGATGTGTACCACAGTCGGATCGTACCTCTTCCAGCGCATCTTGGAAGAAGGCAAAGACTCTAGGTTCGACGAGATCAAAAAGTCTCCAGCCAAGTTTGCCGGCGCCTGGTTCGCCCAAGCGACCTGGGTCTCCCTCTGTCTCATGCCCGTCATCGCCCTGAACTCTGTGCCCGCCGCCGCTTTCGCCTCCCTTCCCGCTTTCAAGATCACGGACGCCATTGGCCTGTTCGTCTACGTCGCTGGGTTCGCATTCGAGATCACGGCAGATAGGCAGAAGAGCAAGTGGTTGCGCGAGAAGCGCGCAAAGGCCCATGATGAGGAGTTTATGACCAAGGGTCTCTGGAGTGTCAGGTATGTTTCGCAGTAAAACCTGGTTGTTGCGCGTGTTACCAGACCGCATGCGACGTTGCCAAACGGTGCGAGAACAAGGGAAAAAAGCTGACACTTTTCTCTAGCCAATACCCCAACTACTTTGGCGAGATGTCACTATGGACCGGTATCGCGACCGCGGCGGCTGGTATTCTCGTGACACAACCAATTCAATTGGCACTCGGTTTGTCGTCTGGCGTCACCGGACCAATTACTGCGATGGCCATGTCCTATGTGAGCCCGGCCTTCGTCAGCTTCCTTCTCCTCAAGGTGTCCGGAGTGCCTATGAGCGAAAAGAAGTACGACAAGCGCTACGGCGACCGCAAGGACTATCAAGAGTGGAAGAAGAACACACCAAAGTTGTTCCCTAAGATCTTTTAAGTGGGTAGCATCGTAGCACGATCGCGGACATCAGTCTTCAATAAGCTTGTTGGTGGTTTAGAAATACTCAATAATTAGCGGGTTCATCTGCCTCAAATCACTCAAACGTGCAATTCATTCAATGCATATCCAATTCCTGGCCAACGCAAGGCTACGATCTACGGCCAGATAATTATACTTGAGCTTGCAACAGGGAATTCCTCAATCCTATCCCTCCTTGGCACGTAGCCAGCCATCCTCCTGTTCATCGCATTTGTCCCAAAGCGCCCACATTAAAGAAGAATAAACCACCCGCCGGGTTTCAGTAAATCATCAAATGCGCCATGTTCTCCCACATTTTTGGTGTTGGATGGTTTGTAGCACGAGGACACACCAGTCGGTTCTCCCAGCAATACACAGTCTACTGGTGGAACTTCTTAACCTTCTCAACCTCGTCAAAGCTGCCCATGAAGATTCCAGCCCTGTCGTGGATACCCTCAGGGACGACGTCCAGCATTCTCCTCATTTGGCTGTCTACCGCTTGGCCACCGGCTGTGACGCGTGTTAGCAAGCTACAATCAAAAGTTGGTGTACGTAGTCTGCTACTAACCATTCTCAAATACCAACGCCATGGGCGCGCACTCGTACAGGATGCGAAGCTTGCCCTTGGGGCTCTTCTTATCCGCCGGGTAGGCAAAGACACCACCGTACAGCAACGTGCGGTAGGCGTCAGCCACCATGGACCCAATGTACCGCGCGCTGTACGGCTTGCCGTTCTCCTGCGGCGTCTTCAACGAGTTGAAGTAGTTGTTGGTGCTGTCCTCCCAGTAGAGCGAGTTACCCTCGTTGACCGAGTAGATGGCGCGGGCCTGGGGCAGGCGCATGTCCGGGTGGGTGAGGATGAACTCGCCGACGCCGTTGTCGAGGGTGAAGCCGTTGACGGTGCCGCCCTTCATGGTGAGGACGAGCTGCGTCGAGGCGCCGTACATTGTGAAGCCGGCGGCCAGCAGCTCGGAGCCGGGCTTGAGGACGTCCTCCTTTGTGCCGGTGGAGCCCTCGGGCAGCTTGTGGATGCCAAAGATTGTGCCGACGGAGACACCGGCGTCCAGGTTGGAGGAGCCGTCGATGGGGTCGCAGGCGACGGCGTAGCGGGCGCCGGTGGCGTCCTTGAAGAAGATGATTTCTTCCTCCTCTTCTGACACGAGCAGGGCGCATCGGCCGGAGGATCTCATGGCTTCGATGAAGAGGTCATTGGAGATGACGTCGAGCTTCTTCTGGTCGTCGCCCGTGATGTTGGAGGAACCGGCCAGACCCGTCAGGTTGACCAGGGTAGCTCGGCGGATGTAGTATGCGATGGACTTGAAGGAGAATTGCAGGGCGTGGCACAAAAGACTAGAACCATTGTTAGAAGCTATCACGGGGGGTTGGAGGGTCGCAGGGTACCCACGTAAAATCTCCGGTGGCTTCCTTGTGCTTGGTTTGCTCTTCCGTCAGGAAACGGGTCAAGGTGATGATGTTGGTGTTGATCTTCTCGGTCTCTTGTTCACCGGCGTTCGTTGTGTAGGCCGACATGATGGGCTAGAGTTTGGTCTACAGATATCGAGTCTTAGCTATCAATGGTACAGCAGAATGGCCTGGATTGCTTGTAAACAGACGAAGAACTTACGGAATAGTTCCAATGGAGGACGAGGGGTTGACACTTGCGATGGCGGGGTTCACGGGAGCTCTAACAAAGAGTGTTGCGCACTGACACAATAGTTCGGGATTCAAGCCGAAGGATAGAAGATGAAAGATGAAGATGAATGTTGTAGGAGGGAGGGAGAAGAGAGAGAGGAGAGTAGTCAAGAGATGGGATCACGAAGGAGAGATTGGAGGAAAAGGGATCTTGTTTGTAGTCCGGGCATGGACTATTACTAGGTAATTACCTGAGACTTCATTCATCAGCGTTGCCGGAAGCTCTCGTGTGTGTACCAAGGGGTCCTCTCATGGCCCATGGACAAAACATGGTCCATGGCCCAGCCATGGGAAAATGCCCCTCAGTTCGGCATACGGCTATCACAGGGCCACACGTCCTATTATCGCGCTCGATCCCGAGTCACCACGACAAAGTGGAGCCAACCGCAGGCACCTCCGGCCGAGGGGAACCCGAGACATGGGGACGCGGGCGCAACAAGCAGAGGACGCAAGGCGCCCCTCGAGGATTTCTCGGAAACCCTCGGCGCGGTGTGCAGCGAGCACACACGATGGCTGCGGCAGTCTACGGGTGGCTTTTGGGCAAGAGACTCTGAAAGGGCGGCTGGGCTGGAACAGAGAACCTTGCCTTTGGCGGGGGCGGGGGGCACCTTTGTGTGGGCAACGCCAACTTAGCAACACTAATAACTCGCGTCGAGGGGGAGGGGCTCGCTCTGGAAGGGGGCAACTCTTTCGGGGATAGGAGAAGAACAGGTAGAGGAGCGGCAGAGAAGGACGGCGGATAAGACATGACCGATGGACGGGGTGACATCATGCGGGTGATGGGATGAAGGTATTCTGGACCCTGGCACCTTTTTTGCTTTCCAAGCCGTTGGATCGGACGGGTAATGATGATTTCTCTGTGTTCCGCTTTTTGCGCTCACGGCTTCTCCCTCTTTGGTGTGGAAGTTCCAAGTGATACTCGTGGTTTACATATTTTCTCAATGTGAAGAAGAAGGTGTTGACTTTGTCCGTACCATGCTCCTTAGTTGTTGCTGGACAGGACTGACGGGGGTGGGCATGGATGAAGCGAGAAGTCACTGCGATTCCTGGTGCCGGATGGAAATCGAAAGACACGAGAAGTGGGATCGATTGTGAATGACAAGGGGTTATCCGGGACTCCACTGCTTACAATTACCATAGGAGGAAAAACTAGTCATTGTGTAGTCATGGGAATTCAGCCTCTCCATACCGGATGTGGAGAGGAAGATCCAATATCCGTACCTTACCTCATGGAGCGGAGTAGTTGGTTGATTGCTCGTGACTGGAAAATGATAAAGAATCAAATAGAAAAGGCTTCAACGTCTCATTATCAGGCGTGGCCAAGGCCCCTGGCATGCTGGCTACATACCTTACCTTGGCCACCAAGGGAATTATCCGTAGGCACTTTGTAATTGAGATATAAGTTTCTGATGACTGGCCCCTTGGGCCTTGGGTAAAACGTACTGCCGTCAATTGTCACGGGTCACCCAATTTCCCCAGCGTACCGCCCCACTTAATTAGCTAAGCTGACCGGGCCCAAAACGAGCCTTAGTGCGAAGACACTGAGAGCAGAAAGTCTTCAGGCACGTGAGAGCCTTCTCCGCACCCGGCTCCTGTTGCTCTTGCTGAGGTGTGTTGCAGCTGCCCGGCTGCGCGTCCTCCAGGTCTGTCTCCCTGTGCCCCAGCAGTCTGCCAGAGGAGGAACCCCAAGCACCCCAGCTCTGGCGATGTCTCGGGTTCGCTGGCGGACCTCGGCATGTGGCAGCTCGTTCGTTGAGCCGGTCGGCTTGCCCAATGCTTCTCTCTAAACCGCACCACCCCCGATAAGACTCCCTATTGCCTTTTCGATACCATACTTGAGAACTACAACCTCCGCGTGAAGACCAGCCCACACATCCATCTTACGCCTACTTCCCCATCAAAAAAGGACATCTCCATAACCCAGCAAAACATCATCTAATCCACCACATACCAATCTTCATCGCATCGCCCATCCATTTCATCCGGTGATTTCTAATACCCCCATCAGAACCAGAACACCGCCCAACATGGTCGCCGACGCCCTCATCTACCACCCGTCCGTATCGCACTACAACAAGTTCGTAGCCACCACCGTCGGCCGCGACAAGATCCTCCGCACCCTCCAGTACTTTGCCCGCTTCTACGCCTGGTACCTCTTCCGCACCAATGGCTCCAAGGCCGAGATCGCCCCCTGGGACGCCATCAAGAAGCAGTTCGGCCTGACCCGCAAGATCATGCGCATCGGCAAAAACGTCGAGCACTTCAAGGCCGCCGCCGTCGCCTCCGACGCGAAAACAATGGACCCCGTCCTCCGCTACGCCGCCGTCGGTCGCCAGCTGGGCTACGCCGGCTACCTCACTTTCGACGCTGCCACCGTCCTTGACGCCGCCGGCATCAAGAAGTGGGAGGGCGCAAAGAGGCTGCAAAAGGAGGCCTACCGCTTCTGGGCCATCGGCATCATCTTCAGCGTCGTCGCCCAGACCTACACCCTCTACCGTCTCCAGCAGCGCGAGGCCAAGGTCGACAAGAAGGAGGGCGAAGGTGTCGTCGAGGCTAAGAGAATAGCAATGTACGTTTTCCATAGCACCCCCCTTGAGTGCACTTTTCATGTTCTGGGAACAGCAAGCTAACAAGAAACAACAGTGAGCGCGCCGCGGGCCGCCTGCAACTCATCTCCGACCTCTGCGACTTGACCGTCCCCACCTCTGCCCTTGCATGGGCCAACTTCGACGACGGTCTCGTCGGCCTCGCTGGTACCGTTAGCAGTTTGATTGGCGTGTATACCCAGTGGAAGAAGACGGCATGATCGCGTTGTCGCATCGAAGGAAGGATCGTGCGTTGTATATGTATGCTTGTGATGATTTGTGTTGTATGTCGGATAACGAGATGCGTCGTCGGAGCGACTGGTATTTTGTACTTGTCTACTGCGCTGAAGAGTGAGAGGGGGGAGATGATTGAGCTTATTTGAGGCAGTGCTTTTGAAATCTTTTGGGCGTTCGGAATGTTCCTAACCTGGGCTGTAGGCATGGTGCCATGATGGGCGGGACAAGGTAGGCAGACTGCTAGCTACTCCCCGCTGTCGATGCGGACATGACAGTCGGCCTGGATACCAAGTAAACCTCTTTGATCAACATCGAATATTCAAGATATCTACGAATGGGAAACATGTATTGCACTTTGTGATGGCAAGTGTCTGGGCCACCCTCAGCCGCCACAGCGGACCCGAGAGAAACCCTGAGCGCCCGGCTTGAACCATGATGCCATTATTAAATCAATCTGAAAGCCAGTCTCGAGAAACCAAGATGTGTGCTCATGAGGCGAATACGCCTATTCATTTTTGGTGGATATCCATGCATGTAATCGTACAATATACATCAGGCACTCGGCATTTTTCCCCTCCTGAACTCAACGGACCCTACATTGTTGCATCCGCAGCTGTGTTGTTGATGATGCTTCGACAAAAATCGCAATTTGGAACAAGCCTGGGACGTCTGCGTGACGAACAAACTACCTCATCCCACTACCACGGAACACCGCTTGTTGCTATTGATATTTACCAATCTGGCTTGAGCCATTGAAGTGGAGGTGCTTCCAGGATCTATTCAGAGTCAAGGACAGCCCCTATGAGGCAAGTTTATGAGCAGGAGTGAGTTACCAGTAACGGCCACCACGTTCATACTCGCGAGGGTACCCATCACGCGGGTAACCTGCTTCCCTAGGAGGGAAGTCTCTGGGAGGGCGGTCGTACGGCCCTCTGCCGTTGACATAGGGGTCGGGTGGCGGGGGGTAATCCCGCCTGTAAGGATCGTCGTAACGGCCTCGCGGAGGGGGATAATCGTCCATGGGGCGACGCGGAGGAGAGCGGTAACGAGCACGCTCGTCATAGTACTCGCGGCGGGGACTACGCTCACGGTATCCTTCACGATAACCATCTCGGCGTGGACTGTAGCCTCTCGGGGGACCACGTCGGTCGTAGTCGTCGACTGGAGGCGGGTAGGGTCGACGGCCGCCGCCGGGCGAACGAGATCGAGCGCCGCTGCGCATGTCGCCGCGAGGCGGCATGTCCGGTTGTGTCTGGTAATACGTGAGTATGAACGTTCTCTCACCATCAGTCATCTGCTTTCGCTTACGTCTGCTACACAGGTGACGCGGCTTCCCTTGAATTCTCGGCCATCAAGCTTCTCTACGGCGGTTCTCAAGTCCGCCGCAGTCTCGAATTCAACGAAGCTGAGTGGTATTTTGGTCAGCAAACGCACGATTGCAAGTGATGGATTGAGGCCAACATACCCGCGCCCGTTGCCGTCGCGGGGCGTTTCCGAGTAGACAACGTCAAGGCTTGACTGACGAGCAAAGTCTTTGAGGTCCTATATCCAGAATCCATGTAAGTTGGTGTCCAGGATCGGTGAGATGGGCCGAAGAGGGCTGATAATCCAGGTTTCATAGACCAGTCGGCGGCAAGCCAAGGGGATTGAAGCCAGGAGTGGTGTCGTCCGGCATTGGAGTTCCGTCGCTGCTTTGGCAGGCCCGCGCCGATTCAAAGAACCGGCCATGGACTTGGGAAAGCAAGTTTCAGGAGCGCAGCACGGTCCGGACTAGTCGACTGACAGGCCGCCGATGGCTTGGAGCTGAGGCTACACAGCATGCCGGAAAGTCCACAGTCCACCTCGAAGGGTACGAAGAAGGTCCAGGCGCGCCATAGGCGCATAAGAGAAGGGAATCCAGGAATCCAGCTTAGAGAATGGGGAGAGAGCAACAGACCTGCCAACTGGTATCGGTGGGAAGTCCCGTGATCTGCATTCGGTGGGGAGTGCGGCGAGGCCTGGGAGGAGCGCGCTCATTGTTGCCAAAGCCACCGGCACTGCCGCCCTCCCTGTGACGGGTTCCACGGGCAAATTGTACAGTCAAGCGTTCGCCCATGAAGTCGGATCCATCTTTTCAACGCTATGATTAGCGCACCAGAAGTGAAGGGATATCGTTAAATGGTGGAACGGCGCAATACGACATACGGAAGGCTGGGCAGGGAAGAAGTCAGCAACAGAGTAATAGGTATAGTCGCAATAGTGACAACAGCTAGGGAGCACCTACCAGGAACAACATCGCGAGCATCCATGGCATCCTTGTACTCGATGAATCCGAATCCGTTCATGAGCTTTATTTCAGTGATTTCGCCAGTGCCATGGGTCGCGAAATGGGCCTCGACGTCAGCTTTGGTGGCTACGAAGGTCAGCAGGTTGCGACAAGAACGCGCCGGGCGATGCGCAAGGCTGAGCTCACCATTGCGAGGAAGGTTTCCCAGGTACAGCCTGGTGGAGGATACCTCGGTCATATTGGCGACAAATGTGATGCGTCCTTGGGAAAACAGTCAGGGTCGGTCGTGGATAGAAACAAAAGTTGGCCCAAGATTCCGGCCTGGATGGGAGAGGATTCGCGGAGGCGATGGTCCGCAGACCGGGCAGGGAGAATATGTCCAAAGGGTTTCCGGCGCAGTACTATTGGAATAGCTGCGAAGGCGAATTTTTGGGCGACTAAACCGGGAAGGAGGAGGCTCCGATGGTAGAGGCCAGTTTGGTTAAGGCGCGAGAAATCGGGTATACTGACGATTCAAGAAGACGAGATGCCTGGTCTGGTCGTCGCTCGACGTATGCGGGAGGGGAATTGAGAATCGATGGGGGCGTTTGGAGGGTGGGGGGATTATGAGGACCGGAATGTCGATGCTGACCCGATCGGTCGAGTCGCGATTGGTCGGAGCAGAAAGAGAATCTGACTGTGTGAGAGGACAAAGGCGCGGGAGTCGGGAGAGAAGGAAGAGGAGGGGTTTTGGAATGGTTATGGTTGTGGTGGTTTGAGGAGAATGGGACAAGGTGAGAGAGAGAGGCAGGTGTGGTGGTCAGGCAAAGGTATTTGATATTGCTTGGCATCCGTACCTCAGGTAGCTAAGGTACCTTGGGCAGGCGGTAATGGAAGTTCCTTACCTCTGCAAATGTACCTACCGCGGTACAAATAGCGGGTACCTTGGAGAACCTATGTTCCTTGCGATCCGGTACGGAGTAGGTAAGGCAGGATGAAGAGGAAGAGAAGGAGCTTGGTTTCTTCCTTTCCCTCTTGAATAGAAAAAAAGAAGGAGCAGGGAAGCCAGCAGGAGCTGTGAGTTCGAAAAGAAGGAGGGTGGAGCGAAAAAGAGAAACAGACATGGGCCTAGAGGCGAGGCGAGGAGAAGACTGAACCTGGAGGTGTGATGGGCCGTCAGCCGGGCCCCAGAGCACAGCTGCGGCCTTCTGTTTCTGGTGTCCCAAGGTACCTTTGAGGAGAGCGCCTGCCCCCCAGACTAGAGGTAGCATCAGCCAATGATCGCGTTTGATTCCGTCTCCTCAACTTTCGTGATCCTGGTTCGTTCGTACCTGACAATGGTGGGAACCTGAGGTAGAGGTAGGGAACCTCATTCTAAAAAGGTACGGATACCTGAACACAGGTTCTTTCTATCCGTACGGAGTACTGTGTACCTAGAGTGGCAGAACAGCGAATGCCTTGTTTCCCTCCATCACTCAAAATACCCATCCACTTCTAGAGCTCTTGCACGTGAGCACTGAGTTTTAGAATCTCCTTTCAACGACTTGTCTGCTACGACACGTATCGCATGCATCTTTCGGGGAAATGAATCTGAAGCCTCTAGCTTGTTGGATATTTGAGCTCGAGGATGGTAGTACCTTGCCGCTTTGCAAAAATCAGTTACATCGCGCTCACCCGGCTCAGGTATGGGTACCTCGCCAGACCAGGGTCTACGAAAGGGGAACATCATACCCGAGGGCTCGCTTTCATCCGATCAAGCTTCCATTCGGCTCCACGAGTCTATCTCACCAGGAATCTTACCAGAAATATTATGGTAAGGAGGGCTGTTAGCTTTCGTTAACCATGGTGTTCACGACAGCTCATGTTTGCGACAGATTCAGGGGAAGACGCTCTACAGGTACCTACTTGTACTTGGTCATCGATCGCGGCTAAAAGAAAGGCATTCCAATTCCAGGCTAGCTCATGCGCGTCGAATTTGACACTCTTCAGTTTGAAGGCCGTCACTTGTGGCTAGCTCCAACGGTCCATGTGGCGCTTCTCCTCCTCCTCCTCCTCCTCCTTCTTTTCTCTCCAGGTTTAATTTCTTTTACTTCTTCAATAGATTCCACTGTCCGAGGAGAGGAGAAAGTGAAGGAGGAGTCGCCGGCGCAACTTCAAACTCCCCTTAACGTCCCAAAACAGAGAGTGGACGAAATAAGGGAGATCTCCGTCCAGGATAACAACCTCCTCTTGGCTTCGGTCCTATTCCGACTTCCAACATCGCCCTGCCCTGCCAGACCTCGGATGCGACGTACCATATCCACGTTGGTTACAAAGTGAATACGGTATACACGAGTGGTCTTATTCGGCAACCATAAGAAAGTCTCAGCGAGAGACAGAGACAACAGAGATAGACCCAGGCGACCTCGTTTCCAGATCGGTGACACCCCCGGTGCCCAGACACCCCCTTTATCCCGTACGACCCGCTGCATCTGGTAACCAAGTCCAGGCTGTCCCAGGACCTATCCGTTTCACCAACCCGCAATAGGGCAATCGACATTAGGCAACGTCTCAATTCATAGTCACATTCGAAGAAAGACAAAAAAAAAAAAAACCGAAGCCGAGATTACCGTGACTATGAGGAAAATCGGAAGATCAATAGCAAGGAGCCAAGTATGCCAAGACCGTTCGGATACTGCAGCAGGCTGACTCTACTTCATACTTTTGAGACTTTGTGCGACCAACAAACTTCCACCACCTTACTCTCCACCCTTCCTCCCGCAACAGCTACCCATGGCAAGTCAGGGATGACAATAGAGAGCGAGTCGGTCGCAAGCATGCCATCTGATTACACTACCTACACTGGTACATCTGACACTCTGCAGACTGATCGTATTCAATTCCTAGAAAGTTGTCGCCCCCAAAAGAAGCTCGATAATCCGATGAGTGGTAAAGCCAAAAGGAAGCCAACTAGACCCAACTCATTGCGAGCCGCCAATGACCAGACCAGTTCACCCATGAGTAATACTAGATGTTCTTAATCACCAAGACCTCGACCGAGGCGTCCGCTCCCAGGGATGGTGGAACCCCGAAACCCGAGGTCGGCCTGGCCTCGAAACTCACGACCCAGCAGAGACACCCATCCTCAATCGTATCCAACCTGGTTCTGTAACAGGGAGTGCCTCTACTCTTCCTATTCCACTAAAATTTCCCCCCTTCCCTCTGCTCACTTGTCTGTCGAAGTGGAAGCAAAACCTAAATCATCGCCCTCGCTGATAAAAACTTCAGATCCAATCGCCCCTGGGCCATGTGCAAGTTGCGCATCCGCGGGTTGGCTCACAATTTCAGAATTGTCACCAGTGAGTGGAAAGGGGGTTTCTGCCTAGCTTCTTCATGTGATTTTACGTAGTTGACTACAGCTCAAACCCATCGCGATCCTTGGTGAATTGTCTACTCTCCAGTGGACCTCGTGATGGACACAGTCTCGTACCTCTCGTCGCTTCATTATATCTTTCCGTGAGTAGATTCCCGTCAGGATTTTTGCATTAATTGCCGCTTTTTGGCCCGTCCACCTCCCTCTTTGCTGTCGTGAGTGTGTATGTACGTAGTCCCGGACGAAGAATTAATAAACCAGACGCCTGCTCATGCAACCTCATAATCGTTTCCGACATATGCCGGGTTGGGCCGAGTGATGGTACTCCCAGCGGACGGCACGCCGCGTCATCTGTCAACGCATCCGAATGGTATCAAATTGACCAAGTAAGAAAAGCCTGCGCGTCTTAACCAAACAATGTTTCTACCAGTTCATCCATGAACGTAAACGCCAAGTGTGCGCTGTGAACAGACTTCTTGTTAGCCATATGACAACCAACGGCAATTCAGCTTCGAATCAACAACTTACTTGAGTCTCGAATTGTTGAAGGTTGCAAATACACGCCGGCTGGCTGCTTGAGCATTTACTCTTCCGACAACGCTTCCTGCTAGGTCGGGTATAAGAGTAGCCAACATCAAGCTGGCTTCTGTTCTCGTCTTCTTCTTCTCTGATGCCGTCCTCGGTTGCTTGTTCTTATTCATTTCACCGCCGGGCCACATGCTATCCCTGAGCAGGGCAATGTACTTGATGATGGCATCTTCCTGCACGAGCATCTTGACATTGTCTCGAACTTTGCGCTCAATCGTGCCGCCTAGTAGCTGTTGGAGGACAACAACCACAGCACGCCCTCGAAGCCAGTTGTTGCCTCGGTTGAGTTCAAAGACTTCTAGAAAGATGTCGCAGATAGGCTTGATGAAAGACTCTAGCTCCTTGTTCTCGAAGGCGTTCAGTTCAGCCTCGGCCTCGGCAGCGCTGACACCGTCCTCGTTAACAGGCAGTGGCATAGCGTTCAGCTGGTTGGTGGCTGCCGCGATGAGATTTTGACCAGCTACAGATAACTGATCCAAGACGGGAATGTTGCCCAGGATGTCTTCCATTCCATCCGTAACGGAGTCATAAAACCTTGTAATCATGTCTTTCTTGTCCTCGCGATCAACAAGATCTTGACCTTGCGCTATCACACTTTGTGACAAGAATGCTCGCAAGTCCCGACTCCTGCAGGCCTCTGGAAGCCCAAGGAGATCTTTGAGATATTTCTCAAGAGCGTCCCGTCGCTTGCGAAGAAATTCACTCTGGAACTTCATAACCATCCTTCGCCTGGGAAATTCAAGATTGCGAACAGACGGATATCTTGAGCGAAGTTTCTGGTGCAACTCGTGGAACTCGCTATACCGGCGAGTGACCATCCACGTCGCGGCTGGCATCTTCTCGCCAGCATCTCTTTGCACCTCGACCACATACAGGGCGAATTCCCTCCCATCATCTTCCTTGCCCACTTGGATGGCCTTGATCTTGATCGTTGAACGCCCGTACAAGCTGTTGTCGCTCTCTTGAACAACGTACTGTTGCCTTTGAAGTTCTTTGCGACGGATCTCGCGTTGCAGACTCGCCTTGGATTTCCGCAGGATACGAAGCTCGGCCGTGTTGTTGGTGAGGTCCGCCTTCTTCGTCAGTGACTCGACTATAGCATCTTGTGCAATGAGGCGGTCGATGTCGTTGGACAACGCCGTGATAGCTTCTGCTAGTCCAAGGTCACCTGGAGCTGCCTCCTGGATTTCGTCCTCCACATCGCCTTTCGTCTCTTCTTCTGGATCATCTCGTTCGTCAGAGAGATACTTCTCCTCATCACCAAAAAGATCGTCATCCACAAACACTCCAATGCGAGATGCCGCGCTAACGAGGCCAAGGGATGCCAAGCTTGGTTTGTCGATTTCCTTGGAGGAAGCTGCAGGTCTTGGCATTTCAAGTGATCCGCGGAGGGATTCGTTATCTCCAGAAAATAGACTTGACCTGTCGACTTGATCATCCGCCCCGAACAGTGATTCTCGAAACTCTTCAGCCGTTTGCGGTCGGTTATCCTCCATGATGTTGTTCAAAGCTTCTTCCATTGCTTGTACCACGTTCGTATCCGGCACAGGAGGCTTGCCTGCGTCCTGGTCGAGACTAGCGACCGAGTCCATCATGCCATCCTGATCAAAATCATCGTCGTCAAACAGCGGGGTCGAAACATCTTCCTCGAAAGAACGGCGTTGCTTGGAAATGTATTCGGACCCGTTCCCGTTGAGGGTCAGGCTGGCCAAATCCGATGCAGACCCAGCTCGCCTTGACAGTGGGCGTGTTAGCCGAGGGGCTATACGGGAGACAGGGCTTGGCTTGAATTGGAAGGAATGGGAGCTCCGATGCGTCGGTGGGTGTGATGGAGTAGATGCTGACGGCTCTGCAGCGGGGAGTGGTGCGATTTTTGCTGACGCTTCTTCTGCGGCCAAACACTTGTAAAAGAGATCAGACTTCTTGAAGGCCTGGAAATATTGAGCTTGCATCGCGTCCAAGACAGCTGTCTGGGCCCTCAAGATTGCTCTGCGAGCTCTGTAGTACTGTTCGGGAGTAGCTTTCTTGCCGGCGCTCAGGAAAGCGCGAACTTCATCTCGAGAAGCTTTTGAGACCTTCAGTTCCGGCCTGGAGAGATATGCATGGTCGATCTGGCCCAAATCCTCACGGTCAGAATCCGTCCACATTGGTAGATTAGACGGCAGATGCTCGTCGTCTTGGCCCTCGTCCTCCAAGGGATTGCGAAAGCCATCAACGACTAGCCAGAATTGGACCAGAGGCATCATGTGGTGACGGTCCATGAACTCCATGAAGTACGATAAGCCTGAAGCATCCCGGAGCAGGTCAACGAGAGTTGCATGCTCGAGCTTTGAGGGTGCCTGGGGAACACCAGAAGGGCGGGCGGGCAAAGTCGCAGAGGACTGTCGACTTCCACCGGCAGCAAGAAGCTGGACGCGTTCTTCCAGTAGTCGCTTGCCCATTTCAAGTCGTCTGAGGTAGACTTGATCTTGGTTTTCCTCCAAGGAATCCCGCTTCAACTGGCTCGCAACCTCGCTCCGTAGCCGCCTGGCATCCGAGAGATTGCTGACTTTCCGTATTGCGCGAATGAACTTTTCGAACTTTCTCTCGCTATCGGTGGGCGAGAGACGGGGTATAATGGCAGCCTTGCCCGACCTCGGCACTGGAGAAGCATGTTGATCCAACGCCGCCCTGAGCTTCCGTACTGTCGACCGATCTTGCAACATTGAACGCCCGTAGTTTTCCATGACTTGATTCCAGGTATCGGGCTCGGCCAGGATTTGCATTACAGGAAAAAGCACAGCGCAAGCAACGATCTCCCGGATGATGCTCGAGACGGCTCGACTGGCAAGCATGTTTGGCGGTAGGACTTTTGGCAGAATTCCAGACACCATCTTTCGCAAGTAATCTTGTTGCACAAGCTTTGTGTCAGGGAATGACAACGAAGCTGCGGGATGAAGCTTTCCATCCTTGTATTTGGAGGCGATTGCGAGATCGAGCTCCTCCGATTCCGTCACCGATCGATTGAGTTTCTTCCCTCGGACGGCTCGCTCAGCCTCGTAGAAATCGCGGAAATGGGCGTTGAGCATCGGTACGACTCGGGTGGTGACGATGTCGACGAGGTCGAGCTCCAGGAGGCGCTCGCGGATGTTGAAGAGGGCATCGCGCACAGCTTTATCGACCTCGTTGGAGAAGACTGGGTTCTTGCTGATGTTGGAATACCACGAGCTGACAAAGTCCCGTATTATGAGTTCGAGCAGGTCGTCGAGAGCTTTGGATATCCGTTTAGAGTTGGGGTCGAGGGCGACTTTCGCGTAAGCCTGTCGTGTTTGAAGGCTTGAGACCTGTCGGGCCCAGACCTTGCGTGCGAGGAATGCAGGGCCATTTGGACGCGGAGATCGGTGTCGCGAACCGCGCCCGAAGCCGCGCGACGTAACGAGGATGAGGGCGAGAAAGGCGACAACCGTCAAGATGACCCCTCCGACCAAGGCGTATCCTACCCATCTCAAGACCGGGACCCAGCTAACAGCATAGCCCCAGGCTATGAAGCATGTGATGGCGGCAAGGATCAGTTCTCTTCCTTGCAGGGCCATATCCAGATCGGTTTTGAGGGGCGATAGGCTGTCACTACATCGTACGTCGTCGAAAATCGCGGTACTCTCGGGAGCTGCTGGGTCGGGAAGTTTGGAGGAGAAGAATAGGTCGGCTTGGCTGGGCCTTATCGATATCAGGGGACGTGAGGGTGCGGGTCGAGAGACACGTGTGGATGGTGGATGGCGGATGATGTTGAGGTGTGACCGTTGGACGCTTGTTCCCGGTGCTTGGGAGGTGAGAGAGCACTTACCTGGGCATGTACCTCGGTGAAGTGTACCTGACCTCACCTTACCTGCTGTGTGGTACCTCAACCTGGGAGGTATCGTTTGTACTCTGCATAGCAGGGTAGGCACTGACCCAAGAGTAGGTACTTAGCGGCTCTGGCGAGCGCTCTTACCGTTGCTGCAGGTGCGCCGCAGGGTCGGCTGCATGAGGTGAGTCTCGGTGGGGCCCTTCCTATCATGCTTAACATGCGCTTGTCTACACGTACCACCGGAAAGGTACCTAGCATGAGTTGCGTAGATAGGTAGAGATGGATACGTGCAACAATCTGGGCATTTTTGCTGTGGAATGAAATTATGACAGTAAGGGACTGAACACATTGGAAACAACCTCGATCGTAGGGCTTCAAGGTACCATAGTCAGGGCCAAGCGAGAGGGCCTGTCGATAGCAGTAGCCTAATCCTCTTAACTGACATACCTACACTGGATTTCATGATTCCACTGAGACCGAGGCACGATATAGTTGTCCCTGAGAATCTACGACACGAAAAAGGGGGTATTATTTGAACTTTTGCGAGACTAAGCACCAATGTCTCTCTTACTAGAGAGCCATGCCGCCAACACTCTGGTCAAGTCGTTGCCATTCACCATGGGGGATCCTCCAGCCTGCGGAAAAGCGCAATGTGCTTCTGACCCTGATTCCGCGTCACTTTCTTGCTCTCCTCCGTCTCGGATGCCATCACCTTGACACACTCGTCCGCCTCCTGTTCTTCCTCAGACACACGCTCGAATGCGGGATGGGCATTGAAGTGGCCCACCATCCACTGATGTAGGGGTTCGACATCTGTGATGGTGTACACGATGCCTCCCGGGCGCAAAGCAAAGGCATATTCGGAGTTGAGAGTCGTGGATACGATTCTGGCCTTGTGTTTCCGTGCTTTGAAATGCGGATCGGGGAAGCAGATGAAGATCTTGGAGAGCTGTGCCTTTTTGAAAAAGTTGGGGAGGAACTTCATGCTGTTGGCGCGCAGGCAGCTGATGTTCTGATAGCCGCCAGTCTCCTGGTTCTGGACTCTGAGGGCCTTGATGCGCTCCTGGACATATTCCGTAACCGAAGTGCGGATTTCGAGGCCTTTGTAGAGGGAAAGGTCAGCGATCTCGCCGAGTACAAGCTTGTCGAGTCCACCTACCGAGGATGAGGGTCTCTGGGAGGATCGGTGACAGAGCTGCGGTCAAGCCACCAAAGCCGCAGCCAATGTCAACAACCTCCACATCCTTCGTTAGACTGCGAGTTTTCGGCTTCGAAGCATCTAGGGTCGTGGACTCTGTAAGTGTGGGATCGGAAGAGGGAGTCTCGTCATTGGCTGCGAATGCGGGATAGTACTGCGTCCAGTTCATGGAGTCTGGACTGGCCGGGCTGTATTTGGGAGGGTGGTAGTTAGCAAAAGAGTATAGGCAAGAGAGCGGTATGACTATGGAGACTTAACTAGACTAATTGATGGTCCGAGAAGGGGTTTGCATGAGCGCGTTGGCGATAGAACTTCTTTTTGGGCAGTTCAGCCACGCCATCTTGGTTGCGCGCATTGCGATACTCCTCGCGCTTTGTGGTTTTGGTTTTCTTTTCCGGTCTACTCATGGTCGGTCGCTGATTAAATCGGATCAATTATCTGTGAAAAGAGCACCAGAGAGTGGGCATACACGATCAAGCTGTCCTTGGGTAGAGAGATGGCTTGGATGGGGAGTCGTCTGATATGCGATCAAGGTGCACAATTGGCCGCCTGAAAATCAAAAAGTTGCGATGCGAGCGGGCGGTGATGCATGGCGGGGGGACGATGAGAGCAGCCGATTGGGCAGGCGGTGAGCACTGACGTTCGACCACCGCCGTGAACCTCAGGGTATCGGTACCTGAATGATAAGCGATAACAGCTGAAGGGCCCGCCAACACACCCGTGCCCGCTGCGGGTTCCTAGCGTCACTCGTTGCGGCCCCGGGGGTGATCTGCCACCCGCTGGTGTACCTTAAGTATACTTTCCAACGCTGACGAGGGGCCGAAGGTGCCCTTTTTGCCCATTTAGAACACGAGTGTTTGCTAGATACGGGGTAAAGTATGATGGATTGACGATGGATTGGCGAGAGGAGGGAAGAAAGGTAAGAGGGGAGGAGGTGACTATACTACCTATGCCTTAAGACATGGACGGAAGGCCACAGCTGCTATGAATTCATCGAATGGGGGCTCTCGGAAGATTACCAAAATGCCTTGTCACTTACAGATAGAAGGAGTCGTTGTTACCGTCCAGTGGATGCTCGTTCTGGACCAAACACTAAAACGTGACGGAGGCGTCGGTCGGCCGTCCCATGCTCTTCGCGCATCCTCATTAGCATCTACATCAATGCCTCCCTTTGCCTGATTATCCACCTTGGCACTCAGCACCTGACTGTCTCGCGACTGGCCCGCCCAAGACATGACCGAGGGGGGAATATTTATTAACATAGGAATCCCCCCAATTGCCCCCCCCGGCGGAAATAGCCAAGACATTCAGCAACGACCTCTACCCTTGTTCTTCAACCGCCGTCTCGTCATACCACTCTCAACGTCCATCCATCCATCCCTTTACTACTTGCAGTCAGACTAGACTATATTTCTGCCGTCACACAGACGAGTGCACCAGTCAGCCATTGCGATTCAAGAACACCCCGCCGCATTCAGTTGCTCCCGTCATTCTCCCACCATCATCATCTCTCTTCAGTCAATTCCAATTCGAATCGTCAACGGCCGTCGCCGTTGCTCCCGCAATTCCCTAATGAATACCCACGCGCAAACCGTCTCATGGTACGACACCATGATGACCTACTCATTACTACACTCCGACTACCCTACCATTGTCAGATACATCTCGGGCGCCTTTGTAAGTCCCCTTCTTAAAGAACACCATTTGGCCCCCTTCTCAGCTGCCGCTTCGCTAACACCCCCCTTCACTAGATCGCGCTGGGATTTTGCTTCTTTGGCCCCATTCTCCTCCTGATCGGTGTAGACATCGCCATCTACATCTACAGGATATGTTGGAGCCGTCCGTGGAATCAAAATCAAAATGAGACGTCTTCGCGTGAGCCGAGGCACCTGTCGCGACAGCAAAAGGCACAACCACCGCCACCGTCACTGGAAGCCTCGGGTGGGACGACAGCTGTCCCTTCGACGGTGGCAGATTCAGCGCGAAGGCGCATACAACATCCGAGCGAGTCCGGGGCCGGGCACAGCTCATTTTCTGGGTAGAGCGAATGCGAGGTTGTGACGAAGGGGCTGTGCTTTGAAGGCAAGGTTTTGGCAAGAGACTAGAGTAGTTCGACGGGCGGGTAGGTCATGGTTGCGTAATGAGCTGAGCAAAGCGTCCGTCTCCTGATGCAACATGTCCTGTGTTTACTTTATTGAATTGCTCATTGCCTTTGCGCGGTTGTTCTGACTGAAAGGGAGGGTTGCTTTCTTCCTCGTTCCTCTTCGTTTGTCGAGGTTCCTTAATTGATGGGATGGCATAATTGTCTACTATGATGCGACAGGGGCAGCAGACACGGGTCCTAATAGGAAAGCTTCTCTTGACTGAAGTGTGGAGGTGTGATGAGTTCATAACTGGATCTTCTGAGAGTCTCCTTATTCATAGCGAGAACTTACGGGAAGTAGCAATTTCCCCCCCAAAAAAATCAGCAACTTTCTGGCGTGTTATTCAAGTCAACCTGAGTTGGGGATTGTCTCGAATTTTGTAGCACCATCCTTTCTAGGGTACCTGGGGCGGTCTCAATTCTGTTTACTGTCTTTTAGTAAGGTAGTCAGGCACACCTTGTTGCCATCTGCCCCCCGATAACGATAAGGGACCTTAGAGTGGGATTCCCACAGCGCTCGCCGACAATGCGCGTGCCCCCAGGGTCCTTCCATCTACACCTCGACCAACACCACCATCCTAGGTACACAACGACTTCAAACACAGCAAGCATCCCTCTAGATTTCCAATCGAACCGAGTGATCCCATCGGTGCACCCCAAGATGCAGCACACCAAAGCACCGCAAGATCCAAACCTCTACGGCCAACCAGCGGCCAAGAAGCGCAAAAACGACAGTTCTCTCGGCAACTCGCTCGACTTCACAGCCCAGCTCACCTCCCTCATGTCGGCGCCCGCCGCAACATCCTCAGCGCGACCTCGACCTTCAAAGACACGATCAAGTCTCTTTAGTGGAAAGGGGAGAGATGGCGACAGCGGCAGCAAGCACAACAAGAAGTCCGCAGACACAGCAGCAGCAGCGGCCAGCAGCAACAAGCTGAACCTCAAAGACCCGCTCGGCACAGAGGAAGAAACATCGAATCTCGCCCGCGCGCGGCGCAAGATGGAAGAGAAAGCACGCCTCTACGCGGCCATGAAGCGCGGCGACTACGTCCCCAAGGAGAACGAGGCGGCGCCCCTCATAGATTTTGACCGAAAATGGGCCGAATCCGAGGACAAGAAGAATAAGAACGGCGGCAGGGATGCGGCAAACTCAAGCGGCGGCTCCGACGACGACGACGACGACGACGACGAGAACGATTCCGACGGCAACGACGAAGACAACACAATCATAGAATACGAAGACGAATTCGGCCGTCTCCGCCGCGGCACAAAAGCAGATAAAGAACGCCTCGAGCGCCAGCGCCGCCGCGGCCTCCTCGGCGCCGAAGAGCTCGAACGCATGTCGGCCCGCCCCGCGGCGCCCGCAAAACTGCTCTACGGCGACGCCATCCAGACCATGGCCTTCAACCCGGAGGACCCGGACAAGATGGCGGAGCTGGCCAAGAAGCGGGACCGCAGCGCGACGCCGCCCGAGGCGAGGCACTACGACGCCGACAGCGAGATCCGCACAAAAGGCACGGGCTTTTACAAGTTTAGCAAGGACGAGGAGACGAGGCAAAAGGAGTTTCAGGGGCTCGAGGAGGAGAGGGTGCGAACGGAGGCGGCGAGGAGGGAGAGGGAGGAGAAGAAGGAGGCGAGGCGCAAGGAGATTGAGCAGCGGCGGAAAGAGGTCGAGGCCAGGAGGGCCAAGAAGATGGCGGAGAACTTTCTGGATGGGTTGGCGGCTGACATGAAGAGGGAGCGTTGAGAGACGAGACCATTTGAGAAGCAATGTCTAGTCTAGATGATACCCAATTAGCAGGCACGCATTATGATAGGAAGGCTATGGCTACAGAATAGTTGTTGTTCATATGACCTTAATTTCTTCTACACCTACCGCTCTACACCTAAACCTAACACTACGACTAAGATAAGATGACTTGCAACATGAATAAATCTCTTTAAATAAGTGTGTAGCCTACTATGAAAGGAATCGACAGGCTATAAGTAAACCTTTCCGCCGTCCCGCAAAGTGGCTTTTTGGGGGCTTCTTTGCCCATCCATAGGTATTTGCCAAATATATATACAATCGCCTGCCGAATTTGCGCCCTAGTGAATGACGCCCATAGATGCTCATCCATTTCTCAATTGACGCCCCCAAACAAAAAAGAAAAAAGCCGCATTGAGGCGCGTAGCCTGTCAACGCAAAGATGGTGTGTGGTACATTAATCCGTACAGTAAATCATGGTTGTGGTGGGGACCTTGTTGGTCGTGATGAAGATGTGTTATGTGAACCACCATATACATCCACAGTCGCTAAGTTGACTTGTCCTTGATGATCGGTCTCGAGGAGATACCAACAGGCTGTCTTCGTGTATCCAACGTTTTCTCGAGTCTGCAATTGCCACCGTTTGCCGGTTTTCCATAATCATGACCTCCATCGGCTGACCCTGATCGTCCAACACGGGCACGGTGTTTTGGCCATCATCGCAGACTTCAACTTGTCGGCAGTAGGCGTTCTTCGTTTCGTCGAGCGAAACACGTCGCTCTTCAAATTTGATGACCTGAGGGTAGGGTGGTGGAGGGGCACGGCGTGGCCTATCAGTCGGGATCGGACTTGATTGGGGAGACTGGGTTTGCAGTCCACGGACCAAGAACTGCGTTGAGGTTGAAGGAGGGAACGTAGCAGCCGCCGGAGGCCTCGACGTCGTAGTAGAAGGCTTTCTTTGATAGCTGTTGTTTTGGGCAGGGTAGACGAATACTTCGAGAAGGGTTCCGGGCCAGGTGCAAATCCAAGGCCGATCGCCGGCCTGTGCTCCTTTGACCCCTTTCCTACTGAACTCCGACATACCAGGCGGTGAGCCATCCCATGATCCACCCCTTTTGGATTGTGGCTGCTGTTTCCTGGGGGTTGTGGTGACGCCAGGGAATCTATCCTCAGGTACAACCACGGTCTTGTTATAGGTCATCTGGGCAAACCATGCGGCGCCGCGTCCCTGTTCAGAAGTGTCGTTGACAAGCCGCATCTTCAGAGGGTCCATGATTAGTGGTGGTTGAGTACCCCAAGAAAACATGTTGATCCTAGAGTTGTCGTCGTGATCGCTGTCATTGAATGTAGTAAGTTTTAAGGTGTAATCGGAAATAGGTAGTTCATTGGCGATTCTGGAAACGCCCATGACGTAGCTGGTAAAGGGAATGTTGCAAGTCCAGGCTTGAGCTTGCGTTGTATCGTTGAAACAAGTACTTGGTGCCTGGCTGGCAATGAGAGGCGGCAGACCAAAGGTACCAATCTCCATGGGTGGAAGATCGGGTGGGAGAGTAGCGAGGGGCTTCACATCAACCGTGGCAGTCGGGATAACCACTGGGATGGGCTCATCGTCTTGGTGCTTTCCGGGCGGCTTTTTGTGCTTGGCGAAGAACGTTCCGATGACAGCACCGAGGATGATTCCCCTGGATACGGTTAGTTATATCGAACAAAGAGCATAGAAAATTGAAATCAACTCACATCATCACCAGTCCAACTGCCAACAAGCAGATAGCCCAGTAAGGAACGACACCGAACAATCTCTTCTTTGCCCTCTTCTGCCATTTGCGGTCGGTTGCATTTTCGCCCTTCTCAGCGTAGGATTCAGCGGCAGTGTTGATCTCATGTTGGCTAGCAGTTTCATCATTCAACGTCCGAGAAGACGTTCGAGATGGTGATGCGAGACGCAAGTCCTCTCGTGACTCAAACTCAGGATTGCGCGTCGCGAGTCCGATGCCACCAGCACCGGCAGGAATGGCAGGAACTGTGGCAGTCATGACCGTAACGGCAGGTTGTTGTGCCGGTGGTGATTGTTGGTGCTCTGGCTCCCGCTGTGGATCTTGTTGGGATTGCACTGGAGGTGTCGATGATTGTTGTTCACCAGGTTGTTTCCTTGTGTAGGCTTGCTCGGGATATCGAGTGTAGGGTGGAAGCTCTTCGGTGTGGCCCAAAGGTCCGATCAGGTCAGCAGCTTCCTCGCCATCTGGCCCAATCCGACGGTGATATCCATCAGAGCGGTCAGCAAATCCCACCGGGATGTTATCGCCTTCATTCGTGTCAGGAGTCACGGTGTTTTGCGTGTAAAGGGTGTATGGGTGTGTTGGTCCACGAGGCCCGGCGTATGATCTTTCAGACATGCGAGCAGTGTTTGATGTTGCGACGCTGTTTGTCCGTTGCGGGTACATTTGGTACGGGAAGGATGGTCCAGAAGGTCCCTCGTAGGGACTCTCAGATCTGATTATCGGCGAGTCGGTCGAGGCGCTGGAGACGCGAGACATTGGAGCGCCATTAGATTGAGATTGAGACGTTGAGCCATCGTGACGGAGTGCTAGCGGATCGTGGGAGCGAGGGGGCTTTGAAATGCTAGAAGGTCGAGGAGGTGTGACGCGCTGAGGCACGGGAGAATCTCGTGACACAACCGCCGAGCCAGTCGAAGGGTTTGTGGTCGAGTTGATGGGTTGATGGGAAGCGGAGACGTTGGCTGGGCGAAAGCCGTCCGAGATGCCCATTGCTGCTAGGTCGTAGTCATCATCGTCGACGGTGTCGGTGGTCAACGAAGCCCTCGCTGACATCCTGAGGGAAGCCCTCCGCTCATTGCTTGCCTTGTCGTGAAATGGATCCATGGTGATGTTGATTCGATGGTCGGGTTTCGATGTCGACGACGAGCTGCGGCCTGTTGAGAGTGTGGTGGCACCAAGTTCACAACATGAGCGTCCGCCGCTGACCCCGTAGGCCCAAATCCAGATCCAGTCCCGACCTCAACCCGCGGTTGCCTGCGTCGTTAACCCTCTGCCGATTGTGCCGCGCTCCGAACCAGTCGTCGCCGAGGAGAGTCGAAATGAAGATGGATCGAGTGAGTCGTCAGAATATTGTGATTACGAAGTTGTCGAGTATTTGGTGATGAGTGGACAGGTGTGAAATCCGGTAGTGTGGAAGAAAGAGAGGCAGGGCGTGGGTAGTTGGGTCGTGGAGGAGAAGGAGAGGAATAGGCGTGGGACAGGGCGAAAGAGGGAGTGAGAAGGAGAGTGCGGGTGCGGGAGGGTAATACCAGACAAGGTTGGACGATTCAGGAACAGTTTGGGTTTGGGGTCCGACACGAAGCGTCCGGGAATTTGATTGGTGAGAGGCCGGGGGGTTCCTCTTTTTCCCTTCTCTACCGGCTGCGGAGGCAGGATACCCAGGGGCCGTATTCAGAAGCGAGAGAAGCCAACCCGCTGGAGACTTTCCTGCTGGAACCAGGAAACGACCGGGGTTCCCTTCACTGGTGGAGTCCAGGTCTGGCTGGCAGTGGTACCTATGGGTACCTTGCCTTTAGGCACTTCACGGCGTGGTCAGTACGTACTGGAAGGGTTACTCAAATGTTGTCCAGCCAGGTGGAGAGAGAGAGAGGGACTCAAGAAAGAAGGAGGACAAGCTTGAAGCCAGCCCACGTACCATGTAGTGTACGGGGATAGTAAGGTATGTAGTATGTACTGCGTGGGAGGCGTGGGCACCAGGCAGAAGGTGCGTGCTGGGTGAGTGACATGGAGGGACAAGAAGGGGAAACCGTGCCGTCTTTGGGAGCACTGGGCTGGGGGGCCGGGCGAATCCATCACAAAGACGCCCGAATACAGACAATCCATTGCTAAGGTCGAGAGACCAGTGGTACAGGCGTCGTCTGTGTGTCGCAGCAGCTGGATCAAGTACACTCTTCCGACACGACTAAGACGAGGAGCGTGTGTTCAGTATGTGTATTCTGGCCCGACGTCAGCAGGCTGCAGAGTAACGAGGATGGGAAGACGCGCTGGGGCAATGTCACACTCTGGTCGGAAAGAAATACAAGAGGCGGCGGACGATATCTTGCCCTCATTGATTACTGAATGTCGTTGAGGTCGTGGTAGTGTACAGATAGCCTGTGTGTCTGACCTGTACTCGGCAATCTCTCTGTTCTTCAAGAGCAAATTGTCCGTATGTACGGAGAGTCTAGGCGAAATCCGCAAGTACAGCCCTACCCAGTACACTGCAGAGTCTACATCCCTAGGTGTCTAGGTACTAAGTGAGGAACCTTCGCAACGGGCAGAGACAGACTGAGAGAGGAGATAGGAGCCTGTAGGTAGCGGCACCATAGTGGGACCGGACAGCCCTCGGCCGACTCTCCCTGGAGGTGCAGGTGCAGGAGTTCGTTCGTGTGTGAGACGGGTGGGGGAAGGTGCAGCATTGGCGTCTGGAGTGAACAAACGCTAAATAAGTCCAAATCCACCGAATCCGCCCCGCCCACTGCCCAGATCCACCCAAACAGAGTCGGTCGTTTATCACCGGCAAGGAAGGTCGTTAACTCATACCACCCACGGAGTGCCATACTAAGTAACTTATCCGTAGTAATACCGTGCCTTACACTACAGACAGAGACCAAAGCAAGGTATCCTTTCGTTCCATTTGTAGATCCATCTAGATACTACCATGATTACTATCCAAGCCGTCTTCAAACATTTGCCTCTGCTCTCTCAATCACTCATAAGAGTATCCGTAGTGTTCAACGTGGTGGCCCATGATGCTACTGCGGGGAAACTCGTGGCTTCACAAATCTCAGAAATAGACCGAAGAGAACATGGTCGGTCGCCATTCGGTGCTTCGTCGTTTCTTCCTTGCCTGGCATTCTTCCCACTGGCACCCGCACAGCGTGACAGCGCCCATGTCCAAGCACCATTCCGTACCACAAGCGGACCGGGATCGTCCACACCTTATCTGCAGAAGTCACGGCCGACTGACTGAGTCTGTCTGTCTGTCAATCAATTTCGACACCTGTTGCGCCTTGCCGGCGTTCTTCCCCACCAGTAATAGCGGCCTTGTCTGATTCTGTTATATGGTGTCAGTCAAGGGAATCCAATCCGTTTCCTTCCAGGTTGCCTCTCCATCTATCCGTACGTCAATCAACCACCGATCCACAGAACTCATTCCAGAAACAATGCCACTTGTTCTGCCCAGAGCGATCGTGTGTGATGAGCCTATTTACCCGGGACACC